ATTTTTTAATATATATATTAATATACAGGTAATGCTTCTCACATATCATGTAATGTCAGCAGATGTAATTTAAAAGAATCACCAAAAGATCGAGTCTACTCTATCAAAAGCCATCAATACGGTATATTTTTTGTAATACTCGTGTGACTTTTGTGATCTGCATGAAGCATTAGTGAAACTGGGACATCTAAGGCAATATCCTTACAAATGACCTTGGTAACCACTTGTTTACCCTCTTGTTTCTAATGGAAGTGAGAACTTGTAGAATATCCTTCCGATTGGGAGTTGCCGCTGACATGAATATTAATAAAAATTGTGCAAGGGTTTGGAGGGAGCATCTCAAATGTTCCTTTAAAATCTAATGAGCATTATTTTATGCTGGCTGTAGCAAAGAACTTTTCAATCTGCCTTAGGATATGATTAACATTTCTTATTTTAAACAAAATGAGCAAGCTAGTCCTCATCAGTTGCTTTATACAACTTCTGTGCTTTTGGCTGTGAGCTCTATATTAAATACTGTTTGCTTTGAAGCTGTTTTTAATACTAGTCTTCAGAAATAAATTAAATTCCTACCTCCTGAGTCTTGACAGCAGTTGTTTACTTTTTTCCTGCAATTGATGAGTTTGCTATTAAGTCTTCAGTTCCTCTGCACCTCTTTTTTTTTTTTTTTTTTTTTTTTTTTTTTTTTAAAGTTCCACCTGTTGTTCTCTTGTCTTTGCTCAGTTTTGGACCTACTGACTGCCCTACATGGCTCAGGTGTTCCTTCAGCTCTTCCTCCCTAGTGTAATGTCTGCATTTTCTCCTTCATGCTACCCTTGCAAAGCATTAGTAAAGCATGAGTAGTCCTGGAGCCCTTAGAAGTCTCTATTTTTCTCCCACGAAGAGCCTCCAGTATTAATATCAACAGCCCTTAATGCTTTTGTCTGTTTGCAGGTGTCATGAATAAAGTAACAAATTTTCTAGAGCAAGGACTTTGTAAACCAGTGTTTATGCTTCTAGTTTCTCTAAAAGGAAGCTGCTTACATGGAAATGAGGTGTAAAGTATGCTGTGACAGACTTCTGGACTACGGTTGTATTTATTCATAAGAAGGTAGCTAGTGAGAAAATGCAAGCTGACAAGTTGAAGCTAACTTGGGGAGAAGTCCTATTAATATAGGAGTCCTAAATATATATTTATTTTATTTTATTTTTCTAAGTGGTGACTTAAGCAGAGAACGTAAGGATAAGTTGCTCAGAGGAGAAGTCCTCAGGAGAGAAGTCCTCAAGGGAGCTGCCAGCGTAGGGTTTAGAGTAATTCTGTGTTGCTTCTGACACTGCGTGACTCCACTTACTAAAGAGCAAGGGGAGATCACTGTCAGTAACTTTAGATTTTTCCACTCCCCTTGTGTTTTCTAGGAACTTGTTGGAAAGTTTCCTATGGATTACAGGCAGCTCCTGGTGCTAGTTTTCAAATGTTGGTGTAGTGTCTGATGCTTAAAGCTGAGATTTTTTTTCCTAGGGAGCCTTTCTTTTAGTCTCCTCATAAAATCTGAAAAATATTTTTTAAATGGCAGAGCTTCAGAAATAACACGTGACTCAAGGATAAAGAGAAGAGAGGAAAGCAGTGTATCTCGTGCTGTAGTATTAAAATTTAGATACTGAGATGTGCCAGTTTCCACTGTCAGCATTTAAAAAAAAAATAAAAATTCTTCCATCTGTCACCAATTCAGAATAGATCAGGATTAGTTTTCAATCTCTTCCTTTGGAAAGTTATCCCAAAATCCACTGGAACTTGTCATTAAGGAGACTTTTAGCTTAAATATTCTTTACTTAATTAACCAGTTACTAGTAGTTCTACCGCTTTTTAGTTACCAGTAGTAATACCTCTTTTCAGTTCCTTATTGGCCTTCTATAGGTGGCCTCCTATTTTTCTGCCTTTTCAATACGTTCTTAAAATGTAGGCCTGCAAGACCCTATAATATCTTAATACAAGGGAAAAAAAAATTGAGGTATGTTCAGAGGAATTATTTCTCTGGATCTTAGAAGATAACAGTCTTATCTCTATGTGGTAACATTTGTTTGCTTCTTCAGAGTCCCTGTTTGCTTTTCCATCTTGCAGCCTTCTGGTGCATCTAATAGTGCGCCTGCCTGCCATGTACCCTGTCCTCCCTCCTTTCCCCATTGAAGGAGCTGCTGGAGCATCTTGTTTGTGTAGGGCTTTATGTGTAATTCAGGCTTGATTTGTTATAAACTGAGTTTTATAAATTTCATGAGAAAAGTGTAAAAAAAACCAAAAACAACTCGATTGCTTCTGCTTAGCAGAGAAGGTGGCAATGGCCTGTGAGAGTCCTTTGTGCCAGAAGAGTTCGTGCCACAGGATCTGCTGTCCTGATGGAGGTGTGCCCTGCCATCAGGGGTGGAAAACACTGCGACATCAAAGTGTGTTCATCTGAACAGGGTTTCATCCCAGTGCCTGAGGTGGTCTTTAACCCTTTCAGGTACCCTGGAGGCAGACTAGTCAGTCTGGCTCTTGCGTTATGGGTGGCTGTTGACTTCACTGGTACGCAGTTTATCCGGTTTGCTGGAGGGTTCCAGCCATCCCAGCTCTTAGGAGACTCTGATGAGACCAGGTACACACAGTTGAACAATGCTGTCACCAGGCCTGTGTTGCTTTCGTTCAGTGAGGTGAAAGCTCTCAAGGTCCCTATCAGCCCATCATTTCCTCATGACTCCAAATTCACACGTCAGGTTGATGTTTAGGATGTGTAACTAAGATCCATCAGCAAAGCAGCTTTGGAAATAGAGTGCCTCAGGGCAGGGGCCACACGTATCTCTAGGGAGGTTGTGCAGTCTCCAAAGTCCTGGCAGAAGAGGAGGGGTGGCAGGATGCAGGTGGGCAATTCTCAGCTCAGGCTGCTAAACCACTGCGGAGAAGAGGGCCAAACGTATGTCAGCAGTAGAAGTGCTGTGAGGAGCTAGCCTAGAAAACAGAGGGCAGGCGGAGATGTGCTGCAGGATTATAAAATAGCTGACAGAGGACAGAGTCCAGGTTTAGCTGTAGATGAGTATTACTGGTGGACGAGGCTGTGTGAGAGCAGCGAAGAAACCAGTAATGCTTACAGATGTCCAGACCACAGGCAAGGTGTGGACAGCCTTTGCAGAGCCTCTTGTAGTTGATCAGGCACAGAGTGCAAATTCTTTGATATCAAGGGCTATCTGTATTTTTCCATGTACAACCCCGTAGCTGCTGTAAATAGTGAAGGCTTTGCTTTCCTGATATGTGTAACCTCTGGCTGAGACCACGTATATGCTCAGAAGACCAAATGTATTATTATGCAGTATGCAGCTATGGTAGCTGGTTTTTATGTAGATGCAATGCAGTGTGTTTACCCTCCTTAAACCTATTGGTTAAAGAATGTACATTTTGTTCAGCTGAATTGAATTACACTTTAGTGTTCATAACACTTTTTGTCCTTTTTTTTAGTAACAGTCTGTGGTACTGTGACTGTTCCTGATCATAAAGAGAGATGCTGCCATTAGGTTTTTTTAGCATTTGTTGAAGAGTTCCTTAAATCAAGTCTTCTGAAAGTCGAACATCTGAGTTCCTCATGGCCTGAACAAAGGAAACGTTTTTCTCCAACCTCCTCCCTGTTGGTCTCCTGCTGGCATAACTAGCTGCCATTCCAAATATTCAGGGACTTCTTTCCTTTGCCTGTCTCTTTGGGGTTTTTATTTTGTTTTGCTGGATTTCAGTTTATTGCAAGATCCTTATCAGGTGGAGCCCTTTAAAAGGGAGGGCAGATGCTCTTGAGCCTTCTCTTTCCCGCTTAAAAAATAACGGAAGCTAACTTCTTCCTCTTTCTTTGCACCTAGTTATTTAAACGTTCGATTTGGCAATGAGTCCAAAAAAAACCCAACCCTCACTGGCCACGCTGAAAATCGGCATTTCATGAGAGCACTGATCACGTATGTAACGTTCAGATTTATCCCTTTGAGCCAAGCTCCCAGCTTGACCCTCGTAGCCCGTCTACTCGAGGAATCGTGGTACCTTGTGGGTTGGACTGTTCAGCAATCAAGGGAATGTGGCCCATGTGGGAAATAAGGGACAACTCAGGAGATGACTGCTATTTCTCTTGAAGATGTACCAATGTCAGCTCCCAAGTATATCTTTATTAGCCTGTTGAGCTGCTTTTTTTTCCCCACACAGAAATCAACACTTTATTTCAATAGCTGAGGCCTTTCATATGTATGTTTTGTCTTTTTGTCTGGATTTTCTTGAAATGAATTTTCTGTTGATAACCAGCTATATATACGTATATATATTTTATAACTCCGAGATTGCTTTTTAAGCAAAATTTGATTAAATCCTCACTTCCCATTGAATCACTCAAAATGTCACGTCACAAGAGCAATCCATAGCAAAGCAGAATTTCCAGAATTAGGATTCTGGAAATAACTCGTTTGTTTTCATTGAATATAAGGACATAATTTGCATCAAGGATATTATTTTTTTACCGCTTCAAGTGAATAGTATTAAAAAAACAATTACCCGAGGCCTTTGGTCATTTTATGTGTGTATAATGCAAGCAGTATTTGAATAGACTGTGCATCCTAACACTAAACACATGATTATAGTAAAAGCAAATGCATTTGCAATGGAACAAGATACCTGGGAGCAGCCTACCACAGCACCAAGGTTCCTGGACCGTACGAGTGTTTTGGTGAAGGTGTTTGTGGCCTCTAATGAAGTCTGCCAGCTTTTCCCTTGACTGCTGCTGTGTTACAGGCCTTCTGCCTGGGTTGAGACAGAGCATCATGAACAACTTCCACTTTTATTGCCAGTCTGGAGAGGGAAAAATAAGCCAAAATCAGCGGTGGAAAGTGTTTTGCTTTGGATTTGCTGTGTCTAAATACGTGTACATAAAAGGAACCAGAGTTGAACTGTACTTTACAGAACTTTTCTGGACTAACACTAACTTATGTGTCCAGGCAGTTTCCATCCCACCACTGATTTTTGTGAGAGTGAACTGCACAGGCATGGCTTGCCTACTTCTGGATATGTGACTACATTGAAGTGAACAAGACACCTTTATGCCAGGAGTAGTGTTTTCTTTGTCACACAGTATTTGCCAGCACATGAAAGGAGTTTTGTTTTGTTAGCTGACTATTTTCTCGAGGTGTGTAATTAATCTGCTTTGAAACACCTTCATGGCTTGGTGTCAGCTGCAGAGTTTCTTCATAGTCACATTGGGGCACAGGTGGCAAGGGAGGAGGGAAGAGATTATCTTTTGGGGAAAGAACCTGTGCCTGCATTTTCCTAATAGGATTCATGATTTCTGTGTAATTGGATGGTTTTATTTCACAGAGCATAAGGTAGTCCTGGCATGCAAACTTCAGACATCTTTGACCTCTTTTGAACTTGCTAACTCTGAAGCTTTCAGTTCTGCATCCAAGTTGTGCTTTGATTATGACGACTTTGAAAGAGCTGTTCTTTGATGGAATCTTGTACCAGGCATCTCTCTTGAAGCAAGTTAAAACCTGTGCTTTAGAACGTGGTGTTTGCATCTTAATCAATACTGAGACACAGTGAATTAATCTGTATTGTAGCCCTGAGGGATCTTCTTGGTAGGGATTACTTTCTGTGCCTGAAAGACCTTATACCTGTAAGGAATAGAAGCACAACAGCGGTGTGGAGCTTGCGGGTGTGCGTGGAAGCTCAAATCTGTGCTATCCATGTGTGTAGTTCCATAAATACAGGCAGGGAAATTTCTAAACATCTCTGGACGTTAATCATCTGAGTTCCTAAACTGCACATAGGATTATTAACTTGGTCTGGATGAGTGAGCTGTGTTTGGATTCAGGAACATACCACGACTGTCTTGATATCCTCTACGTCTCAGTTCAGCACAACTTTTGCTGAATACAAGATGGTGGGGTCTCTGTGCTTTAACTTGCTTTCCCGTGCATTGGAAAGACAGTTGGGACTACTGATTTAGTTGCGCAGGAGACTGAAAAGTGGTGTGGCCAGTGGGAACATCCTTTGAGGAAAGAGGAGGGCAGATGCTATCTTTTGAGTTACTATGCATGTTGAAGACTGCTCAATATGAGCAGTTGCCATTAGATTGTCTACATTTAAACACATTCATTAATACAGTTGCATTTCTATCTCAACCTGCCTGTAGAAGGGTTCAAGGCAAATCATTATCTCTGGCTATTTATTATTTGGTTTTGCTGACTCTTTGTCTGCTATTTGTTCTGCTTTGATTTCTGCAGCAAAATAAATGTTATATTTGTTTATTTTTTTTTTAGTCTTACAGGCCAGATGCAACAAAACACCTGAGTGTGCAGGCAGCTTTTAAACAAATACTGAAATCCCACCAAAGCCAATGGCATTTAGGCATGAGCTTTGCAGAACTGGGGCATAATGCTCAACCAGTAAAGAATGAGATGGAACACCTGGCTTTCCATTTTTACTACCATCATTAATGAATGCAAGTATTTTTACAGACAAAATAAAGGCCTCTAATGTGAAGGTCGTGACCATTTTTGGTGCCTTTTCTGCCTCCTCTAGACTTCTGAGGTCTAAGTGTGACCTAGCCCTGCTGTACCACAAGAAGCTCTGCAATTTGCTGCATGTAAAGCTAAGTCTTTTACGTCATATGTTTGATATGGCTCCAGGTACTGTGGAATGTAAAACTCTGAGGCAAAACATTGGTGGAACTAAATCCAGATGTTAAAGACTTATTTGTGGAAACTGGTCATCCTCTTCTGACACATGCTTAAGCTGATCAGCTGTTTGAATATGGAAGGAATTCCCAAGCACACTCTGTTTTGAAGGAGAGATGGTGTGTGGAATGAGCCTCTCCTTTCCTCCCAGCATCAAGAGTAGCCAGTGCCTGCAGACCAGAGAAGATACCATCTAAGATCATTTAACTCACGTTGTTTCCCTGTGTGCAACACACAGTGTCATTACAACTGGTTTTTGGTTTGGGCTTTTTTTCCACTTTGTTTTCTGTTTGGTTATTCTGTGAAATTTGCCATGCAGCTGAAACTGGAAATGGGAAATTATCACTATATTTTTAGGATTTTTTTTTTCTCCATTTCCCAGCAATGTTTGAAAAGTTGGAAATGCAGTGATCTTTTTGGAAATATATATTTAAGTAAATTGGTGCTATATTTAAGACTTCAAGCTTCAGTAGAGCGTGGAATGTGGACTTTTACTGCTGATTTTTACAGTATTGTGCTGGGTTGACCCTGTCTGGAGGCCAGGTGCCCACCAAAGCTGCTCTGTCACTCCCCTCCTTGGCTGGACAGGGGAGAGAAAATATAACGAAATGCTCATGGGTTGAGATAAGGACAGGGAGAGATCACTCACCAATTCCCATCACAGGCAAACCAAACTTGACTCAGGGAAATTAGTTTAATTTATTACCAGTCAAATCAGAGTCAAGTAAGGAGAAATAGAACTAAATCTTAAATTTTCCTCCACCACTCCCTCCTCTCCAGGTTCAACTTTACTCCTGAATTCTCTACCTCCTCCTGCCAGCGGCACAGGAGGACAGGGAATGGGGATTGTGGTCAGTTCATCACACGTTGTTGCTGCCGCTCCTCCCTCCTCAGAGGGAGGACTACTGACACTCTTCCCTGGCTCCAGCCTGGGGTCCCTCCCATGGGAGACAATCCTCCACGAACTTCTCCAACATGAGTCCTTCCCACGGGCTGCAGATCTTCACAAACTACTCCAGTGTGGGTCTCTCCCACGAGGTGCAGACCTTCAGGAAGAGACTGCTCCAGTGTGGGTCCCCCACTGTAAAAAGTTTAGAATTGGTTTCATGAACTATACTGTTGTTTATAGCTTATTTTCAATTGATCCAACTCAAAAAGAGTTAAATTCCTATGTCAGTCATGGAGAAAAACAAGTTTGCATAGCTATTCTGCCTCTTGTAGCCCGCATTCCTTCTTTTTCTCAATTATAAACGATTTATAACACAATAGCATGTTAAATGTTGTTCACTTACACAGCTGTGTATGAAGCGCCTGCCTTGACATTATGTTCTTGTGCCCTGATTCTGCCAGCAGACCCACACGGATGAACCTTTGCCATAAGGAGGGGAGTCCTGCGTGCATGACCCTCCATCTGCCCGTGTGCAATCATTCATGTAACCAGGGGCATCAAACAGTGGAGCACCAGAGTCCTCGGTCCCTTTGCCCGTGCGGGTAATCCTAGCAACTCTGGTGAAGATCTTAGAGTGAATAATGCTGCTAAGGTTTATTTGTGGTTGCAGGTTTTAATGTTGTGTTTCTCACTTACTGGTGCTTTGTTTTTCCTTTTAACTTTTTTTAAAGAACCTGTTAAGTCTTCTACTAGTATTGATTTTTCTTTTATGTGTTTTTATTATTGTTTCAAACCTTGCCTTGCTGCTGCTTATCAGAATTAAATGATCCAGTGAGAAAATGCCTGGTTTCGGGCTCGAGAAGGTGCAAAGCTTTTTGTTGTTTGTAGGGTCAAGATGGTTAAGCAATTATTGATAGCTCTTCCAGTTCTGGATACCTTTGAGGTGGTAAGGCAGAATGGAAAGTTTGTTTTCCAGTTAAAGGTTAATACCATGAATATCTGAAAGGCTTTAGTGTGGCGGCTACCTACCTGTTAGAGAGGTTTTGCCTGCCATGGCCTGAATTGGTGTGCCTGACAAGCCTGGTGGAATTTGGGATGTTGTTGTCTGGAATAATGTCTTTCTATCTGCTCAGGGATCTGTGGCGCACAAAGGAGCAATGTAGCTAAAGTCAGGTTTTGAGAAAAACTGAGGGACAGCAGAAGTCCTCTTAAAGCTTCCTCTGCAATCTGATAGCATTTGTTTGTCTGCTCTGGTTAAGCGAACACCAACAAATTGACTGTTGCTCTTGTGCAGCAATGGAACTACTCTTCTCTCAAAGCTTTTGCAGACTTATTGACAAACAGGCAAAGGGGAGAATGATCAGAGCTCAGAAATATAGGAAGTATCTTGCTTAACCGCCTGTTTGCTGTGTCTATTTAATTTATCTTGTATTGTGTGCAAATATGAATGAGTCATTATAATCTGTGCTTGTGCATGAATGCAGCTATATGCTCCGCTTCCTTCCCTTTCTTGTTCAGCTGACCAAAACCCCTGGCCAGGAAAGCAAATGCTGGGCTGTCAGTGTGGAAATGGGGCCGTCATGAGAAACTGAGAATAGCAGCCTCCACTGGGTATAGATTGTGGTACTGAAGCAGCGGAGTACTTCATCAGATACTTGATGTTGAATGTACACATCTGTAATCAATTTTGAGTGGGTTTAGGGTTAAACGAGTGGTCTCATTGGGGCCGGTGAGACCATTTCAGGAGATACTTAAGTGTTTTGCTGAATGAGAAGTGGCTTGAAGGCTGGCATCCGGACCTTGGAGTGGATTTAGCAACTGCAAAACACAGGCAAAACTGACCCTGAAACAGTCTGATTTAGGTTTTGTGCAAATGGGCTGTTGTGTGTCTGAGCGTCCCATTAGCTTGCCAATTCGAACACTAAAAGTAAATGTGTTCTCTTAATTCTTCTTGTACAAGGTTTTTTACTTCTTCAGAAGGCTTACCGGCTTACTGTCATAGCTCCTCCTGCCCTGTCTGGCAGTCATATCCAGATTTGTTCATTTGGCACAGACTATTGGGTTCATGGTCACAGACACTGCTACATGTTTTCTACTAGGTTGCGTGTAGTTTTATTAAAACTCTATGCCCTAATGAAATGTATGTAAAGAGAAAGCTTTCCTATGCATCCCCTGGTTACAAAAATGTAATTATTATTTTGTGAGTGGGAAATCTTTCCTCCTGACATAATCATCTAAGTCCATAGATTAATATCACGACAGATTAATCTTAAAATGAAAGTGTTATTTCGTGCATTTTGCTTGTCGTCTGCCAGAACAAAATTCACAGCTGTTTTTTGCAGGAACCTGCTATAACCTGAACCGTGATGTGGGACGTCTTTAAAGCAGCTTGTTGTTCTTCTCATTCTTCCTCAAATATTCTTGTTTTTGTACTGTGATAATTTTAGCACTTTGAACGCAGATCAATGCTTTGTCCTTACGTGGCTTGGTAGCTAATTTTGAACATCTGTGAGGCAGAAATACTTTTTTTTGTTGCTGAGAAAGTGAAGATGAAATGGCAGTTTGCTCAGGGTCACTTATGGGGTGGCAGCAGTGGGGAACGAGGCGCCAGGTCAGGCCTCATGGCCGCCGGGACAGAAGCTGTCTGCTGAAGCGGGAGAACTTTGCTGGTGGGCTGCTGCCTAACATGGCTCTCTGTGCCTGGTGCAGTAAGGATAGGTTTGTCAGAGCAATGTGGGTGGGTGAATATGGGGAGAGGTATGGGAGAGTACCAGGTCCAGGCATGTCTGAAGAAGGGCACGTGGAGACAGGAAGAAATCCAGCACCTCTGCATGAGGCGGTGCTGCAGTGCCTGGGGCAGTGGCATGGTGGTGGAGAAATGTCCTCCCAGAGCCAGCCCAGAGCTCTTTGGGAACAAACCCTCTGGATTTGGGTGATGCCCAAACTGCCCTTGGTGCCCCCAGCTTGCGCAGCTGGTGGGCTCTCTGAGCGAGGAGGCTGCGGGAAGGCGGGAGCACAAGGATGACCACTACTGTGGTTCCCCAAGCCAGGGCTGTTGCGGTTATGAACGGTAATGAAGCATTGCTGGTTAGGAAAGAAACCCGACTTGCTTGTCATTTCGAGCTAGAAAATGAGCTGGAAATGGGAGATGTCAAACTCCATAAGCAGAAACCTTGTTTCAGGGCAAGGGTAGTGAGTAACTCTTTAAGGCCAATTTCTGTTAGAAGACTTTCAAAAGCATTTAATTTTTTCTTGTCTAAGGAAAGGTAACTGCATAAGAGCTCACATAGCTCTAACATTTACTGATTTTAAATGCTAAAGTCCCTGCACACTAAAATTTGGACAGTTAAGAGTGATAACACTGAGATAACAGTTTTATAACCCTCAAACTGAGTAACTAGCTAAGATTTCTGACAGAATAATTGATGCTTAGAGAGGTGTTCATTTACACATCAAGGTCTTCACGAAGCCCTAGGGGATCACAGCTTGCTCTTTATGTTACACAGTCAGACTTCAAGTGCAACAAAATTTAATGTTTTTATGTTGAGAAGTTTCTCAGATGTCAGTGTTTAGGCATCAAAAAATCAACTACAACAGTAAATATTAAAAAATACAGACTCTTAAGTGATAGGAAGCCAGTGCTATATATAAAGCCCTCAGTTTCAGGGGAGAAGCTGTTCAGAAGTTCTCTTCATCAGGTCCCAGCTTGAAGCCTTCTGAAAATCGGTCGGAGGATTCCCAGTGATAACAGCAAGCTTTGAATCGGGCCCAAGGTGAATGGTGGGAGTTTGCTACTTTTATGGTACATGTAAACACAACTCTTGATTTTTCACATGCAGGAGCCTAAATGGTTCCCATAGCAGCAGTACGGGTGCAAGGTTTTGGTCTGACGTGGAGCGCACACATCTGCCGCTTCCCTGCAGTTCCCAGAAGGAGCTGCCGAGTTCCGCAGGTTGGTCACGGGTCCTGGGTGCTCGCGCCCGATGCGCAAGTAATGTCACGGGAGGTGCAGAAGAGTCTCCCCTTCAGGTGGTCTGAACCCTTGCGGGCAGTGCTGTGGCTGACGCTGTGAGGGCACTGCCCTTCTGTAGACGGACCCTATGCGTTAAAGCTACTCCTGGAGTATGGAGTAGCTCTTACTACTGTGGAGCAGCTGCAGATATGTAGGCTAGGTTTCTCTCCTGGGTTTTACTGAGGCTGGCAGAGTAAAAAGTAATGTTTTCACGGGTTTCTGGGCAGTTTATTTTGTTTTTTTATAAGAAGTGGAATCTGTTGACGGATGTTGACAGTAATTTTGCGGAGGCAAACATTGTTTTGGTAGCTCTTTTATCCTTATGTTAGATCATCCTAGCCGTTAATGTCTCTTGGGTTTGATTTCTGCAGAAAACTCGTGTGCTTTGCACGTGAAATTAGTAGCTTATTGAGGTGCCTGAGTAACTTCATTTAGCCTAACTTTAAGCAGCAGCTTGTACAGACCATGGTCTCAGACCTCTGCAAATGGTGATAAAATATCCTCATAGCTGTAATTTGAGATACCAGGTATGAGAAGCTCCTGTAGCGTAAAGTTGAGTCTCCTTAGTACCTGCCTAGTGCGTGCTAGGTTTTTAGAAAGATACCTCAGAGGTAAAATTTGTATGAGCCTTTCTTCTTGGAGAAGACTTATCTAGAATTTAGACTATACTTCATGCTCTGAATCTGCTGATTTTAAATAAATGTCACTTAAGGATATTTTGAAGGTTTTCTTGCCAACTGCTGTGTTTTATTGATTAATTACTTGAGTGGTGGTGCTCCAAATGGTTTCTGTTTTTTTATAAAGCAGTTTCTACCTTTATTTTAAGCTTTTAACTGTTTGACAGGTTTTTAAAAGTACAGAAATATATTATCTCTTTATTTTGAACAACCCCAGAAGACAGCTTGATACCAAATTGTGTTTTTGATTTGAGGGTAACTTGTGTTTGCGGGTCAAGAAGATCATACAGGTTGTAAAAGAGAGTTGTTCTTGAGTTATGCACATTTTACTTCTGCTGTTTGGCCTGATGGCTGTTAACAGCCACTGACGCTATGGAACCACTTTATAGTGAAACCTTTGATGTGCCCCTTCCTCTGTACCTCCTCTGTTCTCTCTGCTCAATAGATCAACTTCATGGTAGGTGGGCTTTCCATAGCAGAGGAGCTGTAACTTGGCATGTGCAACGTGAGATTGCACAACATTGCTCTAGGAACAGTGAGCGAGATTTACTATTTCACTTGATTATCAAATCAATTTGCTCCTTCCAAATTCACTATAAACTGGATCTGCTATGAATCTGAGCTTCAGAGAAGCTCGTGCTGATGGCATTGCATAGATTATTGCATCCTAATCTTGCATGTCTTTTTGCAAAGCTTTCTTTTATCTTTAATTTATATTTCCTTTCTTGCTGCAGTTTTTTTTCTCTATTTTGTATTGTAGGATCGGGATATTCACCCCTTGAAGATGATGAAGATGTGTATGCACGCAATAGATACAAAGGTGAATGCTTTGCTTATGTGCGAAAGAGGATCAGCTAATTGCTGAGGGAAAGCTTCATTCCTTTTCTTTTCATGGATTATAAAATCTTGGTGATCCAGCTCCATGGTTTTTCTCATGGATTTTTAGATCAAGATTTAATTTCTACTTTTTTTAACAATGGAAATTAGACCAAGTACTGATCACCACTCTTTTATGCACCTGAGTAAGTAACTTTTGCACTGCCTTTGCTCTTTGGAAGATCATGAAAATCTAGAAAGAGCTTCTCTTTCTTCTTCATACATCCTAACAAAACCATCAATGATAAGCTGACTCAAAACCTGGGCCTGCTGGTGGTAATGTATAGAAGTACATGCAAGAGAACTTGATTTTCATGACTTTTGTTTTTCCCATAAAAATGCTTACATTTCAGGTTACCCTGCTACCTGAAATGCCAAGTGGAGTGTGTTTAATGAATAAACACGTATTCCAAAAAGAAATTATGTAGCTGGATGAATGAGTGAACAGTGACATGTTTGTAAAGCAAATTCAGGTTTTCTTCCCTATTCAAGAAGATTTTGCCATTCAGCAAGACTGAGAAGTTTTTTTGCCACTACCAGTCAATCTTCCATTTACTATTTCCATTTTCTTAAAAAGTCTACTTCTGTCTCAATACCTCTCTCCTCTGCCAAAATCCCTCAGAAGCCTAGACAGTAAACAAACTTAGCATTTAATTCGTCACTTTAAATGGTAACTGTGTTTCTTTTTAGTAAACTAATCTGTGGACATGCTAGAATTATAATGTGATCATTTTGATTACATGAAAATACTGGACATTGGTGTCTTGTTGTACGTTATTGATTCTCTGCAAAGAATCAATGGGCCTTATAAGAGGTAAGTCATAAAGTAATTCAGACATTTATGAACAACAAAGAGGAAAGCACAGATGCTATGGCTATGTTGCTGTTTTCATAAATGTCTTATGTGCCTCCCAGTAAAATACTTCAGTATAAATTTTGCTTTCAAACACATGCAGAAATTTCTCTAAAGCTTTCTTTAGGTAAACTCATTTTTCTTTGCCTTTTAACATGTCACTCGCTGCAGACACATAGAAAAAGAATGCCAGAGATCATGAAGATAAATCAATGCCAATTCATGCCAGGGCAGGCAAGTAGTTAAAATGCGGATTCTGTGTAAATTCCTTTTATATGGTGATCCAAAATGGATTATGCTCATGTCAGCCAAAATGTCACCAGGGTAAGTGAAACATAATGACTCATTCACGCAGATATTAAAAACTACCCTGAGTTTGGAAGCGCTATTGCCAAATGTTGAAGATCAGACAATGTGAATCTAAGAGTATAAAGCATTGGAGTAGAAAAGGCTCACTCTTCATTAGCATTTAAGTTGGTATTGGGGGAAGGGGGTGGAGAAAGACAAAGCAAAGAAAAATGGGCTGAGTAGTTACATCCACAGCTTCTCCTTATATGTGCTGTCCTGCATTTTGGGCATGGCCCGTTGCTCGGTAAATAAAACTTCTGAGTAACAAATAAATAAATGAATTTTCTTAACTGATGTTAATGTACCTAAGCAGCACTGTTTTTTCTTTGCACATGTACTACACAGTGCAAGCGAGCACACAAATTCATCTTCTACGGCATCTGCAAACAAAACATTGCCATTTATTGAGGGTAGTGGGGGAATCAACCTCCTACCAAACCCTTTTGTCTGCTTCTGGATGTTTTTCAACTTGCTCAGCTTTCCAGAGAAACATCACTGAGACTTTCTGTGCCCACAGCATTTTTAAAGAGTTTTTCCTTTCCTCCCTGGTGAACCCTCAGCTCTGTTGGCTGGTGTACCAGCAAGCAGCAGTACGGCCGGTCACTTTGCATGCTGCTTGTGAAGGACATGCTTAGCTGAGGCTGGTGTTTTAACAGGACTGAGGGGTTAGGGGAAACAATGCTCTAGAAAATGCTTTCCTTCCTGCCACTTGGCATGGCTGTCTTGGATCATATTTGATGAGGAAGGGCTTCTCAAATACAGCAGTGCCTGTGTTCATCACAGCTCTAGTGCTACTGCTCTGATGATCCTTGTTTTCAATATATTTTCTCAAATACTGTAATGATCAAATGGTAGCCCTAGCCGTAGAGGCAACATTGTGGCTTCAACCATTTCTACTTGCTGCCTATTTTCCAGTGGTTTCTGGAAAATAGGGTTGAGTCTCTGAAATGTTTTACTGCTAAGTGATAATGCAGGCTTTGGTATCGCTGAGGAATGGTGCAAACTTCCTATGAAACAAAAAAACGCTGCATAGGTCCTCGTACCTAAAAACTCAAATTTCAGTTAGGTGAACAGAGGCCAGTGCAGATGGCAAAGCTCCAGAAGAGGTGCCTGGGAAACTCGTAGCTTTTCTTATTCCCAAAGCTTTCTCTTGTCTTGAGGCAGGGAACAGCTTGTGTGACCTCTCGGGGCCCCACCCAGCCCTAATATTCCATAAGTACTCCATGTAGCTGCTTAGCCTTTGAAAACCAATATGTGCCTTCACTTAGAAAAAAAAAAAGCAACAACTTTGATCTAAACCTTTGTTGTATTGTTTGATGTGCTTTCAGGCACATAAGCTTTTCAAGTTATCTGGGGTTTTTTTTCACTTATATCAATTGGTCTAAACCCAGATACTTGCCCCCTTATAAATCCTGCCTCACCCACCTTCTTATCACATTCAGTTCTAGAGTAAGCATAATAATGTTTTAGATCAAACAGATGTTCCTCCTAAGTTCTTCAAGTTACCTGCATCCAAAAGCATGTCTGTTTTTGTTTTTCTTTCCGACAGTATCGTTTGGTCCAATAAAAGATGTATTACTCCTCCCTAGGAGTCTTTGTTTCTCTCTGTAGACCACCATAGCTGCAATGACACTACAGGAAGGGCTTTTTCTTTCCAGTATTCTATTTGTGCATTAAACTGCATTTGTTAGCTGTTAGCTGCTTTTTTTAGAAAATATATGTGCAGCTGTTTACTCAAGGCAAGTGTGTTTGTAAAACCACAAAAATTTGCAGAAAAACTTAGGCAATTTGCAGTACCTGAAACAGCTGTTTTGTCTTTTTTTTTTTTTCTTACCCTCTTGATCATGTTGCAAAATGTATTTCTCTTAACATCCTTTACAAAGGAAGTCAGCTGTGTGGGTTTGCACCTTGTTTATGTGGAAAACATGAGGCATAAATATCTTGAACTGATTTGCTGAAGGATTACCTGGCTGACTGGGGCACAAGCTCAGCCTCCCTGAGTCTTCATCCCTACTGTTGTGCCCCTGCAGTTAGTGTTCTCCTAGTAACTTCAGTTTTAAACCCTTCTGCAGAAAAATGGAGGCTGCCTCCTTAGTTAAGGAGATCCCAGCAAGTGGAAAAAGCTTTTTTTTTTTTTTTTAAAATAAAAAAATTAAAAAATTGAAGTTTAGGGTCTCAGGGCATGAGAAGAACAAGTGGGACAGAAAAGTTGGAAATTTGGGGGATGAGACCACTGAAGGGAGATTATGGAAAAGCTGTTGTTAGCTCAGGAAGAGGAGGATTTCTCCAGGAGGCGAGTAAGACAGAGGCTGCTTCCAACATGTGTAGTTTCCCCCAGAAAGTGGTTGGAGGTGATGCGTGAGACTGCACCAGTGGCAGTGCAGCGGGCAGCTAAGGAAACTGCAGAGATGGGTGCTGCCATCACATACAACTTCAGCAGTAACTGATTGACTTTTGTTCCTGTTAGCTCACACTCCTCACCTGCTCTCCCAATTTTAATTTCATTCCCAGCAAGCATGAAAAAAAGTGAGCCACTGTGATACAACCCCTCAGCAAAGTGACCCAAGTCAGTCGATGGGGTTTTTTTTAATGTCTTTTGGTACATATGAGATATAGATTAGGGTGAAGGACAGGAAATATTTCTAAAAACAAAACCCAAAAGCCACTATCCACCAAACTACATTTTCATAATTGTAAGGTAAGTAGTGGAGGATGTGTTTGACATTCAGTACTTTTGGAAAACAGGATCACAGGTGGAAAAAACAGAGGTGGGATGATTGTGAGCCAAAAAGCTGAACTGCACTCTTCCCCTAACCTGCTGTGTTCTGTTAGACTGGTCTGCTCATTTCCCATGACTCAGTTACTGCATATTTGGTGACTGGGAATAACAGCTCTTACACATCTTTTTATAGGGTTCTCGCATGTATTGGTGAAATACAAAAATAAGCGTATCACATTACAATACAACTGCTTCAGAAACAGACTAGTCTAGAGCAACGTGCTCTTGGTCTAGTCGAAAGCTTGACAATTAGTCTCTGATTTTAGTCCTCAGATGCTATTTGTGTTGATTCAGGACCAGCACAGCAAAACGTAGGTGCAAAATGTAGTTTCCATTAGGAAAGTGTAAATATGTCCTAGAGACTTTGTACACTGAATATAAATATCTGATGTATGAGAAATATAACAGGCTGTATTGATTTTTGTTTATCACAGAATGGTTTGGGTTGGAAGGGACCTCAAAGCCCATCTAGTTCCAACCCCCCTGCCATGGGCAGGGACACCCTCCACTAGACCAGGTTGCCCAAAGCCCCATCCAACCTGGCCTTGAACACTTCCAGGGATGGGGCATCCACAGCTTCTCTGGGCAACCTGTTCCAGTGCCTCACCATCCTCACAGTGAAGAATTTCTTCCTAGTATGTAATCTAAATCCACTCTCCTTCAGCTTAAGGCCGTTGTCCCTTGTCCTGTCACTCCATGCCCTTGTAAACAGTCCCTCACCGTCTTTTCTATAGCCCCCCTTCAGGTACTGGAAGGCTGCTATAAGGTCTCCCCGGAGCCTTCTCTTCTCCAGGCTGAATAACCCCAACTCTCTCAGCCTGTCTTCATAGGAGAGGTGCTCCAGCCCTCTGGTCATCTTCGTGGTTTCCTCTGGACTCACTCCAACGTGAGTGTGGGGCTGATCCAAATTGTGTAGAAAAATGTACATAACAACTATAAGAATTAAGAGCTAGATGTAAACATCTGCCAAAGTTGATCATGAAATTATTTTTAAATGTCTCCTGTGACTTTGTAAGGATGAAGGCTAAAACTCTGTGTTTTGTTTGGGTTGGTTTTTTCCCCCATCTTTCTTGCAGACTTGGAAAATGTTGTCATGTACCTCCCATATGTCACACAGGATTTCAGGACCTATCATCTTTCTCTTTTTGCCTTGCAGTCCCTTCTCCCTCTCAGTATGCCCTTTTTAAATCTTGGAGCTGAGAAGGAGCAGGCTTAGTCATTCCTTGTGTAGGAAACTCCTACTGAGAAGCTGCCTGCTGCAGAAAAAGCATGGCTTGCTTGGTGACCTTGTTGTCAAAGCTAAACAAAGATTTTGAAGCTTTGGCTGGGAAGGGGAAGTCTCTGTTTGATACTGCACCCATCAGTATCCCAGTATGGTGTTAAATCCTCACAAGAAGACAGTACCCATATCCAGAGTATTTTAAAGTGTAGCCCTGACCAGTTATTAAAGGTTCAGTTTTATGTATATATGTTTCCCTTTTTCCTATGAGATCGGTAGGAGCATTAGCCATGAAGTTCCAACTGAATTCCAGCTTTCCTCTGACTTGGCAGATCCATCCATGTCGCTGTCCTGCATCCAGGAGCAACTAGAAGGTGGTTCTCGTACTTCAGGCTACATTTCCATGATATTAGGGAAAGGTAGTCCTCACCTCTCTTTTGGAGTGAAGAGTAGAAGAGGTGAAGTCCAGACAGACCTTTGAGAACATTTAGAACTAGATTTATATTTCTGCAGCTTGGGTTCCCTTTTCTGAATATTTGCTAAGTATACAGTATGAACATTGACGTTCTTGGAAGGATTTGACAGTAGGAAGCATAGGTGTTTGTGCTGTCAATATATGCATTGTCCCTTACGCATGTTGCACCTGGAAACTACAAATTACTACCAAAAGAGAGGAATAAGGTCAGATCTTTCTCAAAAGCTCTTCACTTAGTCAGTTGGATTGGACACTTGCCTTCAGATTTAATCATGGCAATGGTATTGTGCCCATTTCTGGTAGAAGGCCATGTTGGTGGTGATATAAAGAGCATTTTAATGTTTCAGTGTGGCACCACAGAACTGCTGAGAACAGCGAGGGAGCTGCTGTTCTTGCACGCAAATTCCAGTTCAGCCTCAGTCCTGGGTGCTAACTTGGAAAGTAACTTTGCAGAACTGAAGCCTGAGTGGTTCTGACCCGTGGAGGATGTGTACAGACAGGCTTGATGTATTGGCAAGATGATTTATGTAAGTCACAGCCTTTCTAACTGTCACAGAGTTCCGCCAAGGCAACGTCCTTTGCTGCACAAATTACTATGGAAGATTTTTTTATTTTAAATGGACAGTGAGAGCGCTAAATGTCAAGATTACAACTCCAGCTAGACCAAAGGCATTCCTAATGCAAACTGTTGTTACCAAAGAGAAGTGAGATGTATCCATTCCAAAAACAAGACCAGGGAAAAAAGGTCCCGTTGTCATCAGACTGTCCACATGGTGGCACACTTATTCCATGGACAAAAAACCATGGACACCTTCCCCCCCCCGCCCCCAATCTAATGGCTTTAATGTTTGTAATAAAAAAGAGCTGCCAGTCTTTGAAGGGCTGACCTTCTAGCATATAAGACTTAGTGCACCTTGCTGCATGGTTAATTCTTCACTTTGAGGATTGGTGGCTTTTTAAATAAGAGGTTTTTTTTTTTTTCCTACTCTATGACCTTGAATAAAGAAAGTGATTTTATGTTTGTGTCTGACCTTTTACATTTTCCAAAGTACTATGAGTGTTTTTTTGTTCTCTGTGCTAGAAACACCATGGTGCTCCCCCATTAAGGTGAAACATGGTTATGCAAACTGCAGGACACCTCAAGGGGAATATTACAAGAATGTACTGGGGACAAGATGTGATATTCGCTGTCAAAAAGGCTACGAACTGCATGGCCCTCAGCAGTTAATTTGTCAATCAAGCAAACGCTGGTCTGGGAAAGTGCTGTGCAAACGTAAGTAGCTGTGAAATCTGTGTGCACGGCTTGCGCCTCAGATTCAGCACACAATAAACTTTACTTGCCTTTGAAACAGTGATCTTGGGATTGTTATTTGCATTTTAAATGTTGACAGTATACTTGGATATGTAGATTGGCTTGTTGCTGAGGATCTTACAGTGGTACACGGCATGATAAGCATCGCAAGTGGTACAAATACTCTTGGCAGAGGACAAAGATAGGGAGCATTTTATGAGCGTGGGATTTTGATTTGTGGGAATAATTTTAAGACAGAGCCATAAAACTGCTTTAAGATACTGCCCATCTAGGATTTTGTAAGCTGACACAATTTGTATCAGGTGTCTAAGTGAGCTTTTGCAGTAAAACATTTTCTGAGAAGAGAGGAATAGGAACTTGTCATCTTTTTCTCATATAAATATTGCATCAGGCCACTGTGTATGTAAAGTTAAATTTGAAATGGAGCTAATAAGAACAGTATTGAAAGTCGCACGTGGAACATGACTTTCTCCCACTTGTCATTTGCTAGCTGCATCCTTATTTCTGTGTAATACCCCACATTCACATTACTCTAAAGGGGGATAACAGGTTTCCAGAAATCTTTGTTTTCTATTCCAGAAAAGCGCTGCCCCACCCTATCCATGCCAACCAACGGAGGCTTCAAGTGTTTAGATGGTGCCTACTTTGGTTCAAGGTGTGAGTACTACTGTTCGCCGGGATACCAGCTGAAAGGTGACCGTATAGTAACGTGCATGGACAACAAAGTTTGGAGTGGCCGGCCAGCGTCCTGCATTGGTAAGTAGGATGGTTAGTCTGCATCCTGGAAAGTCAACATCTTGAGATACCTGCTGGTGCCCGAGTCCTCCAGATGAATTCCAAAATGCTCTTTTATCCAGTTCCTGGGGGAAAAAAGGAACTGTCCCTTTTGAGGAAGCAGAGAACAGTTTTCTGAGTGATACAGAATGCTCTCTGTCACTTAGTTCTTTCAGTCCCGAGTGACCATCTTCCTTACACGCACTATCAGGCCCAAGCATTATCACTTTAATAAAGATGAGGCTGGGGTAAATGGTCAGTGCTTTACAATGTTTATAACAGCCTTCGCTGATCTCCTGGGTGACTCGCTGGTAGTCTGTAATTACTGTGCTGCTCTTCTAGCATGTTCTCTGTGCTGGAGTGTGTCCTGCTCTCTGCAACTTAATGATAAAACAGGTTTGAAACTACACTCTGTGTCTGACCTCCCCTGTTGCTTTTCTTTCTTGGGTTCATGGTTTCCAAATATATCCAGGGAATATGAATGGATTGTAGTTACCAGCATGATTGCAGTGAGCTAAACTAAATTTCAGCCTAGTTCACGTTAGTTATGCCAGCAATTTTCGTTACATAGTCAATGGTTTCCTGGGAACGTCAACTGGAATAATTGTTTTTATATACATAAATCAAAAGAAAGATAAACAAATATTGAGATTTAACTTTCCTTCCTACTAATGAGATTTCAGCAGATAGTGAAATCTCAGCTGCTGCTTTTGTTTCTGGGAAGTCTCTGATAAAAGATTCAGCAGCCACCCACAAAGGAAAGTATGTTTTGGCTATCTGAATTGGCAACCAATAATTTAAGCTTGTGGGTGGTAGAGCATTTGTGCTCAGTGTTTTCTGTGTACGATAACTTGGTTTTCCTCAGAATGCCTATGGCTTGGTCTAGGTTAGCAAATGGCTTTGGAGTCTCTCCATGGGGCCTGATGTTCGTAGAATTTTGTTCACATTTCCTGTTACATGGTGTTGTACATGTGTAAAAATGAGCATGCTGCTTAGGTCTAGATTGTTTGTGGTGTCTCTTGTTTTTATTTACAAAAACAAGGCTTGTCCTTCTCAATGGTGTGGCCAGAGGAAATAAAACAACTCCTTTTAAATTTGGGAATGATAAAATGTTGTCCTCTGTATTTCCTGGCACTTTCAGAATTTCATCTGTTTGCAGCGACGGGGTGCTTATTACAGAGGATGCTGTCTTGCAGAGTAGAGAAAGCAATTATGTCTTATGGAAAAAAAGAGGCTGAGCTAGCACTAACACTTCTTTTTGAATCCAAAAATGCAGAATATTTGTTTGTACTGGTTTTGGCTCGGACAGAGTTAATTTTCTCCATAGTAGCTGGTATGGGGCTGTGTTTTGTATTTTAGCAGAGAACAGTGTTGGTAGCACATGGATGTTTTTGTTATCCCTGAGCAGTGCTCACACAGAGCCAAGGCCTTTGCTGCTTCTCACCCCACCCCACCAGCGAGCAGGCTGGGGGTGCACAAGGAGTTGGGAGGGGACAACGCCGGGACAGCTGACCCCAACTGACCCAAGGGATATTCCATACCATATGACGTCATGCTCAGCATGTAAAGCTGAGGGAAGAAGAAGGAAGGGGGGGACATTCGGAGTGATGGCATTTGTCTTCCTAAGTACCCATTAGGCGTGATGGAGCCCTGCGTTCCTGGGGATGGCTGAACACCTGCCTGCCCATGGGAAGTGGGGAATGAATTCCTTGCTTTGCTTTGCTGGTGTGCGCGGCTTTTGCTTCACCTATTAAACTGTCTGTATCTCAACCCATGAGTTCTCTCACTTTTACTCTTCTGATTCTCTCCCCCATCCCACCGGGGGGAGTGAGAAAGTGGCTGCGTGGGGCTTAGGTGCTGGCTGGGGTTAAACCATGACATTGTTGCACAGAGTATGATTGCAAGTCCGAAGTAACCCATTAAAAGTAATACTATTACTTAAGTTCTGGTAATACCACATATTATGGGGAAGACCCCTTCAAACCTTGTGTGCGCATAGTTCCTACATGCAAACAGTCAGTTATGCAGTTAGCAAACTGTTTAATAAGGTTGTCTTCTGACCTCTTGAAAGGTGGGATAGAGATTTTTTTTTGTAACCAGATATGACCCTAACAGTATAATGCAGTTCGCAATTGAACACTTATCCTTTACTGTAATTCAGTAGTTACAGAAAAGTCATCAGTGAAGTACTGCCTACAAAAGCTTACCAGTGGTCAGGAGACAACTGGCTGAAAAGCTCACTTTCAGCTGAGGAGTAAATTAAGGTGAGGGGAGCAATGAAATACAAAGACAAAGAGGCTGGTTTATTTCTTACTTTAGTGTATAAGCAATTAGTTGCACTGTGTACAGTAGGGATGTTACATGCGATCATAGGCCTGGGGTGGTAAAGTTCACGTCATTGCTGGGGACACCACAGCTATTGGCATCGAGTATGGCAAAATTACTGCAAACCTGAATTTATAATCCTCTTGAAAACAAGAAGCTTTCCTTTAGCCTTTTGTACTGCAGTTGCACTGCTTAGCATTTTTGCACAAAGCTATATGGGGTTCACAGTGCAGTAGTGAAGACCCATGTAGGAAAGGCATAAGGCTAACATCATTGCTGAAACAGGTATTCATTTAATTAAAGAAAATTAGGTATGTTTTAGCAGTCACGTACAGAACAGTGAGTATTCAGTTCTAACAAAGCAGACTGTCCCCCTCCTATAAGAGGAAGGATATTCTTCATGTTGCTGAAATAACTTTGATTAAAAAAGATCAATGTACAGCTGCTTTTGGTTGTCAGTTAGCTAAAAATGCCAATACTTAAATAATATTTCCATTATATCCTTAATGCACTGTAACATAGATTGAAATAGGTATTTTCTTCTAGAGGATTGAAAAATGTCACCATCTTTTCTCCTAGAAAGGTTTTAGTTTCTTGCTGATTGTATAACAGAGGTGGTGGTAAATGGCTGTCACTGTGCTCAGTCATCCTTTTGTCACATCCGAAGACTGTATGGATAGGTAGTTAACTAACAGTTTCCAACTACGGATGTCTGAAACAAGCTTTGCACTCTGAGTCATTAATTATACAGGCCCCGATAATGGACGTTTTGAAATACAGAGCAATGCCTTGTGGATGGGGGTGGGGAGAGCAGGACAATGTTTTTCATTCCCCCTTTTATGATTTGCAGTCTCTTCATCTCTTTATGCTTTTGACACAGACTAATGTTTTGAATTAACTTCCAGCCATCGTTTAATGCCATCAGCAATCAGTAATAACAGCATGTTCGTGTAGCAGCAGACAGTTTACCTATCCTATACAGACTCCTGAATAAGCAAGTAGTGGGCATTCCGTACCATCCCTCTGTTTCTTTCCTCTTGTCACCCCAAATTCACAAGCAAATAAATGTAAACCTTTAACAAACTATGAGAAAGGCAGTTAAGAAGCTCTTGAAATGTTTGTGAAACTGTTAATATGGCCAGTCTCAGAAGAATGTTTAAAAAGAAACAAAAAATCTAAAACCTATTTGAAAACTTAGCATTTTTCTCCACAAAGTTCAAAAGGCTGCTTTAAAATTTGGTAATTCCCCTGCTGACCTCCTGATGCCATGTCTGCAATGCTGCTGTCCCGTGTAGGAGCCAGAGTACCTTCTTGTAAGTTGTCGCTTTGCTTGGCTACTGGCAGTAGCCAAGTAGCCAAGAAAAGCAACAACTTACAAGAATGTGGGTGAACAGCGCCAAATTTTTTATGAAAACTCAATTTCCCTGCCCGTGATTTAAACCTTGCAGGTGAGATTCAGCCGTTTAATACGTAGTCCTGCTAAACAGCTTAAATAAATCCGCTTGGCTTTTCATCGGTCTTTTCAGCAGTGACACTGTAGTGTAGCCGTAGGGTGTCAGCCACCTCGCAGCATGTCCTGGCTCCAACTCTGCCCAGGAATACTAATTAAGCGAGAGAGTCTGACAACTCAGCGCTTACAGGATGATTTCTCCCTCTGATAAAACCTCCCCAGCAGTCAGGAATCTTGTGGGTTCCTCCGTTGGGGTTTGTTTTGGAGCCAGTTTAGTTTTCTGACCTGCAGCTGGGTGACCTTGCTCACATCATACATTTTATTGAAGGGTTTATTTTGGGGGGGGGTTGTGTTTCAGTTTTGTCACTTGTGCATTTGCCTGGATGTTTTCTGGTCACCTTCTCTGCATTTTGACTGGGTTGGGTTTTTTAGACCTGTCTTCCTTCTGCCAAGCTGTGGCCAAGGTGCTTAATGCTGTAGATTGGCTGCAACTTTGTACGAGGTTGCGAGGAAAAAGACCTGAGTGCTGTTGGGTTTAACACAGCCCAGTGGCCAGTGCAGGTAAAGAGCCTCAAGTAGACATCTGCTTTCGCTTGGTCCATTTCAAAGCAGAGTCATTCTGGTGGGGTTCATTTAGAGCCTGTTGAATGCTAAGAGGTGGCTGAAATGACCAAGGAAAATACCCTTTCCAGGAATTTTTAGGTCCAACTAAAAAGCCCTCGGGTGTTTGGTGAGTTGGTTCCCACAGTAACCGTCCTTGTCTTTACGGCGTGGATGGTTCATACCAACTAGTCTTCTCTGCGCTAAATAGCATAATGAGCTTTCTGATTAATTAAGAAGTGCTTAAAACACTGGGTGCTTAAATGTCATTTTGCCTTTAAATAAACGTAATGCTAGAATAAATATATACTGTCCATAGCATAGTGGTGAGCTGTTGCTGCAGTAAACTAACCAGAGCCAGAAACAGCCTTGGTGAGACCGACTTATTTCCTACCCCAACTCAGCTACACGGGGGTGGTTATTGAGAGCAACGTTGTTTTGTAGAGGAGAGCAGCGCTCTCGTCAGCTGCGATGCGAGCACATTTCCACACATAATGGGAAGGTACCCAAAAAATAAGGGAGTGCATAAGAAACATGAGGAAAGGAGACAAAGTGCTTCCTACAGCCGGAGTGGATGCTTGAAAATTCTGCTTGCTTGGGTACGACAGCAGATGAGGGAAGGAGGAGTGAAAAAGTTAAAGAAGCCATAAAGAAGAACTAAATGCCTTATGTATCTTTAGTGAAGGGTGTTCTTGGAAAGCACAGGAAGCTTCAAAAGCTGTTTAGAGGATTCTGCTGTTCATTTGTGATTGCTCCACTCCCTGCAGTGAGAGCCCACTCTTGGTAGCTTCACCTTCTAGGAGGATCTACAAAGAAATCAACTGTTATCCTCCCAATACTATAGGAAGATTTTTTTTTTCATTGTTTATTTACAAAAAAACCCAAACACAAAAATAAGCATTTGTGTAAGGCAGTTTGCAATATTCCTGATGTTTTCTGAATAACTTTGGTACGACACTTACTTGCCTGTTCCTCCCCGCTCCTTCCTGTGCAAAGTTAAGACAGGACCTCTTCCTATGGAAGTGCCCCCCCCAGAGCTGCAGCATTTGGGGCTGGGGGAAAACTCTTACACAAGAAATAAAGATAAGCCCGTTTTCAAGAGTCCCAAGTTCTTGGAATACCATTAAAAGTTTGAGGGTGCTATAGCAGGGCTGCACTTGCCCTAGTTAAACTGGTGGAAAACATTGTGTGCTGCTTGTAGAATATGGGGATCTGTTAAATTATTTTATGTATTTGATGCTTTATAAAGACCTAAACCTTTTCTCATTGCTATTATTTTTGAAAGAAATACTGATTGTACTTTTTGTGTCTGCCCTGCAAATGAAAGACAAGGTCAGCCACCCTTTAAGTTTAAGCAGCACTTAGGGATTGTTTCCTGTTTGCAGGTAAAGAGCAATCCTGTGTCTCTGTTCATTTTTAAAGCTGGTATATGCCTCCATGGATTTAGACTTCATTTTGGGTATAACCCAAGTGATGGTAAAAAAACCTGAGACTAAGCTATTAAAGATAGATTTTTTTATTTTTTTTTTAATTAATGATTGTGATGGTGATTGGACTTGGTTTGCCCATGTATTTCTGCTCCACTGGCAGGATTGGCAGCAGAAGCAGCTGCAGATGGGTAGCTGTGCATCACCTTTGTTCTCCACTGGGGTCTTTTATCATCACCATTGTTCCTTTACTCCTGAGTAATAGTCACAATGTTCTGGTAGCGGTTAAACAAGCTTTCAAAACTTACGCCAGCTACTTTTTGTTTTGGGTTACTTGAAAAAAATCAAATGCAGCAGCAATTCCTCTGCAAAATGACGTTTTGTCAATCTTCCATTGTTTCTCTTTTTGCCATTGCTGCAGGAAAAATAACCAAGAATTTAACAGTGATGTGCCAAGTTATCATACCGGGAGAGATTTATGGTCACTGTGATTTACAAATGTTCTTAATCATAATATGCACTGCACAGATGAACCAAGAGAGGCAGAGCAGATACACAGAAGGGTCAGGCCTCTCGGGTTCAACCTTGGGTATCCCTCCTTAGAGGTCAAAGCTAAATACAGTTGACTTGTAGACATTGCTTTTTACCTGGGGACAAGATAAAGAAAGTTACAGTAACTACTTCTTGATCAGTTTTTTACACGGGGCGGGGGTGTGTGTGTTGATAATTCTCATCTCTTCCTCTTCTTAAAAAAGGCTGAGAAGTACAGGCTCCACCTGCCTTGGCTGAGACGACTCCGGTGTTGAGGAGGCCAGCCGAACAAAGGTGGTGCCGAATTACTCTGATAACAGGGCAAGAGCTGCGAAGAACATGCGTAGCTATAACACATGCACACGTGCCCATTTCTGTGACGTTTATTTCAACAGACACTGAACCTCCGAGAATCCAGTGCCCGAGTGTGAAGGAGAAAACGGCGGAGCCCAACAAGTTGACGGCCAGAGTGTTCTGGGACACCCCGGAGGGACGGGACACTGCTGACGGCATTCTGACAGAGTAGGTGCAAATCTGTAAACGTTTGCATTTTCTCCTTTTTATTCCTGGGGTCCTTGGTTAGTAATTCAGCTGATGAGGGTGGCCAGGTACCCTTTGGCCTTAATTCCAAGATGCTTATTTATAGCTGTCACATGTCAATGGCCTGTAAATAATTGCATGTTTAACTGAAAAAAAAAAAGACAACTTGAATCATTCAGGACCTGGCATGTAGAGGGGTGGCAGATTGTTGCAGTTGTTTTAGAGCTGATGGAATAAATGACAATAGCATTTTGACTGCACCTCGGAAATTTTCCAGAGCTTCTTTGTGGGTCTCTTCTCATATACAACAAGGGTTTTTTACAGCAAGTTACCTTTTATACATAAGAATGAAAAGATAATAGTACATTGGAGGTAGCAGCAGAGGCAATTTTGACTGTCTTAAAAAAACCCAAGATGAATTGTGTCACAAAACAGTATCTGCAATCATCTTTAGGCTTTTTTCTGAAGTAGCACTGAGTACTGATGTCACAGTGTTCTCCAGTTATTTGTAAAGTAATGCCTCTCATTTGAAACAGGGAGCTTTAAACGTTGGATTTAAACTTAACCCTTTCTACACTATTTCTTTGTCAATTTTTGTGGTTTCACAGTCACATTTTCCAGAAGAGCAAGGTGCGCTTGTGATGGTACCACTGTCTGATTTTCTCATCTTTATCATGCAGGATTTATGGCAGTCTATCTAGATTATTGTAATGGAAAGAGTATAGAAAATCTGCTTTTTTCATTAAGTGAGTTACATCTTTTAACTCTATATTAGTGGACTGGTTAAGCTTAAAATCTCAAAATACTAAGCTTAAAGATGTTTATAGTTTTATGTGAATACAAAACAACTGTTGAAAGACAGAGAGACATCGCCTTTTTGTTGTTACAGTTTAAATAATATCAGAAAAATTCATTACACAAAACCAATATTGCTGTTAAGATCTAATATGATAATTCTATGGCAATTAACAGCATAAAAAAAATTAAGCCTGATAAAATAAAAACTTTGAAAAGTGTCACAATAAGGAAATTCCAAAGTCTTTTTGATGAAATAATGTTTGGCAGGCAAAAAAAATTGGAGAATATCCCATGCAGACTTTGTCATATGAGTAGCTGTTCCCAGCTCTGAAGAAGCTAGCTGTTGAATCTGTGGAAGCTTTTCCATAAATCTATTTTTATAAAATCTTGCTACACTGCAATGTTTTATAGAATGTACAGTGCTTTCCTTAAATGCAGTGGGTCCTGCGGTCCTGTGAGTATGTGAGCTTTCCCATTGCACGAAACACACCTCCACCTCACTGCTTCAGTACTGAGGATACGTTTAACACAGCTGAATTCTCCTGACACATTTGCAGGATAGGAACAAGTTCCAGGTGAAAATGCTCTTGTGGATCACCACACCCTGCTGCTGTGACAACAAATCTCACTTTCTCTTCCATTTTCGTCAGTTAGTATAACCACAGGAGCAGTGCAGAGCAGCCGGATGGGGTACGTCCCCATTGTAAGGGGCTGGAAGTTTTCTTACGCTTCGCCGGCTCTGAGTTACGCTGCAGCCCTGACAGTGGATTGTTCACGATACAAAATGAGGGAGGATCAATCTCGACTTTTCCTTATGTAAGGAAAAGGAAGCTCGAGTTCCTTTGGGCATGGCGTGATGCTTGGCTGTGCTATGGATTGTCTTATAGGAAGTGAGCAGGGCCTGCCCACTCTGCCTCCCCTTGTCTCAGCAGGGTGGGACCCTTTTGTACAGCTCCAGGGTGGGCTGTTGGTAGCAAGTTTAAATACTCCGGTCACCAGCTTCTTCCTTTGGTTACTCTCAGTCTTACTGGCGCAGCCAATCTTAGCGTGCCACAAATGTCACTCTACAGGCTTTTACAGCATTGTCAGTAGGAAAATACCGGCGAATTTATGAATGTCTGTCCTGTTTTAATCTCCTGTTTTAGTGTTATTTTGAAAGGCCTGCCACCAGGCTCCCATTTTCCAGAAGGTGACCACAAAATCCAATATACTGTGTATGACAGAGCTGAAAACAAAGGCACTTGCAAATTTCTTGTTAAAGTCAGAGGTAAGAATGATGTTTTACCCTATAAATACAGTCACTGATTTGCATCTGGCTTAGTAGGCAATGTGAGAAATGTCCTCATTTCTGCGTTTGTCTGCATAGGTATGTGTGTATAAACTGTATGTTGCTGCTGAAAGGGAGACTGCTGTCTTGCTCAAGACCCTGGGGGCCAGGCCTGCAGCAGGGTGGGTGACCAGCACGCTGCACGTCAGGGAAGAGCTTCATTGCTTGGTCCTGCCTCCAGCTCCACATCCCTTCCCTCCTGCTGGCTTCTCCCTGATATTTAGCTGTGAGCTGCTGAAACAAGTATGAGAAGGAGCTTTTTCAGCTGTGACTCACATCTTTCACAAGTCCTGTAGGTTTCAGCTTCAGCTCCCTTTGTGCCCCATGAGCTTTGTCACCATGATACCACAATCACGTGTACACCTATACATCTGTAGCATTTTGGTTTACATATGAATTGAGAGGGAGGGGTTTTTTTGTTTGTTTGTTTGGGGTTTTTAAGTACATGACTCCAATAATATAGAAAGCAAACAGAGAAATGTCATCTTTATTGGTATTCCACTGGCCATGCTACCCTAGTAACAAAACAGGGTGATTCATGCCTTTTCTTTTTTTTCTTTTTTTCCTCTCTTGCTCAAAGTCAGGCGCTGTGTGAAATTAAACGCCCCAGATAATGGCTACATCAAGTGTTCAGGTGATGGAAATAACTATGGTGCTACATGTGAGTTCTCCTGCATTGGCGGCTACGAGCTGCAAGGAAGCCCAGCTAGAGTATGCCAGTACAATTTGGGGTGGTCAGGAGTGGAGCCAACCTGTGCACGTAAGTGAGTATTTCACCACTTTACCTGAAGGGCTGCCAGAGCAATGGGTCTCGTGGCAGTTTTGGGAAGGGGGGTGTGGGGTGGAATATAGCTGCAAACTTTAATGTCCTAGAGGTAAGAAATTTAACATCTTTGTCTCCTCTGGCAATTTGCACTTACAGCTGAAGCCTTTGCCACCTTTGGCTGCTCTTTCCTAGGATGATGATGGTACCTCACAACTGATAGTGTGTTTTAGCTCAGACCTCTCTACAAAACTTCACATTCTGGAGTCAATCCATCTTGCAAGCCAGAACAGCTTAAGATAAAATTGTTGGCTTCATTGAGGCCAGTATTTCACCCATATCTTCTTTATTATTGTTTCTTGTTCTTGTGCTTCTGCTATCTAACAAACAGTTTGTGCTTTTAGAAATAAATCTGTTTTCAGTATGCTCTATAACTTTTTTGTAAAAATCTGATTCTAGCCATGAATATTAATGTGAATGTGAGGACTGCAGCTGCACTTCTGGATCAATTTTATGAGAAGCGGAGACTGCTAATTATTTCAACTCCTACTGCAGCCAACTTTTTCTATAGGATGCAGTTGGGAATGCTGCAGGTAAAACACATTTTGAGGGGGGGATGCAATTAATTTTTTTCTTTAAAGAAAGACACAGGAGGCCAAGCCCCAGTGTTTGATATAAATCTGCAAACTTCAGCTGTTATATTGCAGCCACTGGAGATCTGGCTGAAGCAGTAGTGGTTCTGGATTAATCCTTTTTACATGGGTTTGAGTTGAAACATCTCCCGCTCCGTTCCAGATTGTCTGCCTCTGACTGATTAGCTGCTGAATCCCAGGCAGTTCTGGCTCTCTTCCATCCTCCCCAAATTAATTTAATATTAGCTTGTGTTCAATAATCATTCCCTAACTCAGTTCCTAAAGAAGTTGGAAAAAAACCCCAAACCATCCAGCATTTCAGTGATTGCAGTTCATGCAAACCAGACTTACAGACTTTGTAACTACAATGCAAAGAAGCATGAATAGCTTCAGAAATAACCAGTGCACCAGCAAACAAAGGACCAGAGACTCAGCATAGAGATCATCCAGAGTGCTGGAGATAGCACTGGGGTATTTTGTTCCAAAAAAAAAAAAGAAAACTTCTGGTAATTGTCCTTCTTATGTGTTGTATATGTGATGCTTTTGTTGGGTTCTTGCTAGACTTAGGGATATATCTCAGAAATCTGTGTCCTCAGGGAAAGGAGTCAGTCCTGTGTTCTTTCAGAGAGGCAAGTGTTTCTAGCTTGTTTCTTTTCTCACAACTGTAACAAAAATTCAGTATAAATAGTTACTGGGATGTGAACATGATGATGTTTTTAACTGCTGGCTTAAGTTATAGTTGTATTAAAAAAAAAAATTCTTTTTTCCCCACTAGCTTAACTTGGAAAGAAAATTCAATACATTGATCAAAGTGAAATAATTTAAAATACTAAATTTAATGGCTATAGTACTTGTTTGACCACTGTCAAGCAGCGGGAAAAAAGTTGGCAAGAAAGAAAACTCTGCAGTCAGCTTCCATTTCACATACCTTGCTTTGATTGCCAAATTAGATTACTGGCACAATGCTTAATACCCTGCCATCTTTTCATGTCATTACAAAGACAAGGTTATGTTTCTCCTAGGTGGTCTCTGCATGTTGAGTAGTGAAGAATCCGTCATTTAACATCCCCTGGCGTCATGAGGCTCTAGTTCTTCGCAGTGAGAATTAGAGACTTTTCAAAGTATCCTCCATTTCAGTTTAAACCATTTCACTAACATTAGAAGATTGGACTCTTTATGAAGACTTGCTGCACGCTCAAAACAACCTCCTGTTCTCTCACTGATTGCTAACATGCCTCCTTCTTCTTTTAACCCTTCCAGCCGGCACAGTGTGGTTTAGACCTACGACATGTTACCGTCGTTGAATTGGTTGGTGTCTTCCCAGCACAAATAGGAAGAATAGGTGTAAAGCTGCTGCCCCCGTCACTTGCCCTGCAACTCAGGTAAAGCAAGCTCTTGCTACTCTTGTGTTTGGTTGCACCTTAGCATATATGATGTATTGCTTTTGATTCCCTGAATCTTACTCTCTAAATGTACATACTCTACTGTATTGCTAGATGCTGGAAGGTAGATGTTGATGAGTAAGTTGTACGATTAATTTGTTCTCTGTCTGTAATAGCTACTGCAAATTAATGGGCATTTGGTATTTATGAAATTAAGAGCATAGACTTCAGCTTGTTTCACATTTAAATGGGCTGTGACCATGAGTGAAACAAGCTGAAGTCTATACCACTCTTTTAAGTGCTGTCTCATCCTTGCCCCTTTGCTCAAACTGAGCAAATTACTGAATCCATGTGAACTCCCTGTGTATCCCTTTGATTATGTTATAGGTCTATATTTTTGGGTTCTGCCACTGAAAACACTTCAAGGATGTCTGTATTTGTGCTGGACTTGGTCCGACGCAGTTGTGACAGGTTGCAGTCACTTTGCAAGGAAAGGACAAACCTTGGAGCAACTGCCAGTGCAGCCCCAGATGGCAGTGACAGCTCGTCTTTTCCGCAGCGCTGCTGGAGGTTGTGGCCAGGCCAGGAAGGGAGACAGCAGTTGCTCTTTGAAGTCCCACATGCAGAAATGATATGGGCAGTACTTCAAAGGGGAAATTATCTCAGACTCCCCAGCCTGACTACAACATTCAGCAGTTTTGCTGAGGTGCCTAAACTGTTTTGACTTGATTTTAGATTGGCAGGGTGTTGGTTTCCACTTGAAAGGGAGACTTCAAGTGCCAGGATTTCCTAGGGATAGGAGGCCTACAAGAGCCAAAAGTGAAGGCCTCAGTGGCAGGGAAAGTAGTAGTTATTTAAGAAAAAAAAAAGTCCAGGAACATTTTAGACATCATCTTCTGTGATATGCCTGAGAAAATGGAGCGAGTTTTAATTGGGGACAGTAAAAATGCTGACAAGGCAGAGAGGGTTTTTTTGGATTGCAAAAACATAAAAACATTTGTTCTCTCTAAAAGGAAAAAGCACAAAAAGCTTCTCTTTTGTTCAAAAAAGTAAAAGTACTTTTACAAAGTTGAAATGGTTTTCTTGTGGCTCTGGTAACAACTCATTCCCTGCTACCCCTTCCCCCTTGCAACCTTTAATGGAGCTACACCTCAGAAATTGGTATGGTATGGTATGACCTGACCTGACCTGACCTGGCCTGACCGGCACTCAGTGAAAGTTTTCCATTTGAATTTTTTTTCTCTGTTGTTACTGCAGTGTGTGAATTATAGCATTCCAGTTCTGGAAGGCACTTAAATAAAAAAGAAAAGCACCCATAAACATCTTGAACGAAGATGCTGTCCAGAACTGGCATTCAGTCCACTAGTGAGCACAGGGACCCTATTTAAAACGTTGGAAACCTCAGAAGGTTAGCATTTGGAGTTGTAGGAGTTAAGCATTTTTCGTAGGTGAGATGAGGCACAAGAGGAATGTGGTTTCCTATCACCATAGCTTAACTTCAAACTTTATTTTAGTGTGAATTTAATAGCCAAGCTCCCTAATTGCAACAAGAAGATGCCTAGAGCACTCGAAGTTGTTAGAAGGCTGAGGAAGGTCAATTTTGATGCTTTGCACCTTACCAACATACACTCTGGACCCTCTTCTTCATGGCAGCTTTCCTGTCCTGACACTGTTCTCTCATGGCTGCCTGAATTTGTTTTCCCCACACCAATGATGTTGACTGACTGCATGTCTAAGGACCTTCTAGTTTGTTACTTCTTCAAATGGAAGATGAAAAGAGCATCAAGGATATACTTTTGTTACTGTTGCACCTCCAGAAGAGCTCAGACGTCCCCTTTTACCACTTGAAAGGAAAGGACTCTGCCATGATTAGCAGTGGGTTTCGTTCTCCTAAATTGGAGTTACCACCAAGTAGATGGTTATTACTAGGAAATGATGAGAACTGACTCCAATGGTTTTGTCCTGCTTTTTCTCATTGTGGTTTTATACCATGTGGCAGCTAAGACAGGGAATAGTCTGCTTGGAACTCTAGCTCCATCACAATGGCTTCCTTTAGGCAATGTATATAGTACTTTTTTTTTGTCTTATGTTTTTTTTCTCTTGTGATAGCAATGGGCAATGGCATGTGCTTTACTAACAGCCAGAGGTCTGAGAAGAAAACAGAGCTGAGTGCAGCAGCCTTGACCCTTCCCTGCTGCAGAGGTACCAGCTGCAGCACGTGCAGACACCCGCTCTCTGACTCCTCCTTCTTACAGCTGAAAGGCCGCAGATCCTGTATAGCCCCCTCTGACCATCCCTGCCTTCTGCTTACACCCAGCAGGCTGGTTCTGCCATTTATTAGTTTGAAGTGCCCAGGTGATAGTTGAGGGGCTTTAACAAAACGAGTTCCTTATTTTGCAGGCTGCTGCTGAGGATCCCCCATTACAATTTCAACATCGTGGTGATGGACAAGCACGGAATGGACAAGGAGCGCTATCCTTTCCCAGCAACGCCAGCTGAGCTCTTTGCACTTATTGACAATTTTCCCTTGAGAAAAGAAGAGATGAAACTGCAAGCAGAAATCGGTCAGTCATGTCCCTAATTCAGGATTGCAGGGCTTGCAGTTGTCAGTGAATTTTTTTTTAATCCACGTAATTCTCCCCTTGGTGCTACACAAAGCATGGCTTTTTTAATCACTGATGTACAGATTTTTTGTGTGTATTGTTAAGTCTGTCAGGCTGTGTAGCTGCTCTGCATAGAAGGATGCATGATGCTTTTTTGTACTTGCAGCCATCTTTAGATGAAAGTGTATGTAGGATTACTACCCAATGGAATTTCTTGTACAGAGAGTGAAGAACTGAGGCACGTTTCCGGGAGTTTATTTTGGATTTTTCATTCAGTGTAAAATTGGGGTTTCTTTCTTACTGTTTATAAGTCTTTTTATTAATAAAATATTGTTTTGCAAACAGATAGTTTTCTAAAGTTCCTCTTGGAGGTAAAAGTTGATCGATTAATTCAAAAGTTGGATCAAAGTACGTCTCTGCAAACCATTCTGGCAGAGACATTAGCCTCAGATTGAAGGTGTGCAAGAAACCCAGTGGTGTCTTTCAGTCCCACTAATAATACGGTCGATCACAGATACAAAGTATAAGCCGAAGGCAATGCAAGTACATGTTTTCAGCAGCAGTGAGGAGAAAATAGATAATAGCAGAGTATGGAAGTCATTGCCAGAAGGAATACGATAAAGGAACAGTGATCAGTGTAAAAGATGGGCAGTAATTACTAAAGGCCACATACAGCAATGCCTGATAGAAAAATATGCTCTTACCCGATATGCTTCTGCCTCTGGCTTTTCATGTCCAACGGACTCGGAGAAGCAGATTTCTTTCCCCTCTTCATCTTGGAGACAGACCAGGCTGTTGATTTCATGGCAGGCAAACATTACCCCAGGGAAACTTCATCAAGGAGTTCTCATTTCCAGAGCTGTGAAAATATTTGTTTGCAAGTCATCACTTACAAATTAACAAAAAAATTCTCTGCTTAATAAAAAGCGTTAGGAGGCAATCAAAAAAGGAAAGAGTTTTCTGTTGTTTTATTGTAGTCCACATGTGGTGGGTTGACCCTGGCTGAGGG